CTCTAAAGATTTAAAAAATAGCCAAGTTTGAGGAGGAAGTAGAAGGGAAGAGAAGCTGAGCTCTTGTGTCCAGGGGAGATTTGCCTTAGTGCTAAGATAATTTTTCCTTCACATGTACTTGATTTCACTCAAATACAGATGAGATAAATTTCAAATTCAGATTTTGTGGTTTTGGTTTTTTGTTGTTTTACTCTAGAAAGCTAAGCTCTTAAGAGCTATAATACTTACTTACTCCTTCCTTTTGAAATTCTCCCTTAATTTTATGCTTCTCTCCCTTTTTAAAAAAATAATATTCAATTGTATACCTCTATTGGAGTATTTTTAAATTTCTTATTCTTTTTGCTTATCTGTATACTTCAAAGGCTTTTCACATTTATTTCCAGTAATGTTAAACCTCTGAAAGGACACTGTTGCACACTCTATTTTTACACCTTGTCAGGAAAGAGAGGAAAAAAGACATCTTTTTACCTTAAAGCACTAGGAAACCCTTATGTGCGGTTCTGGAAGAGCAAAAGAGTGCAGCCTGTTTTACTGTAGCGTGAGTGACCTGTTTTGAGGTCACTCTTCCTCATTCCTCCTACATTCAGCCAACCTTTTAATGCAGTCTTTAGAAGCACTTCATTATAAAACTGTTGGTTAGTTTCAGTAAAATGTTAAAAAGAAGTTGTTTGTAACTGCTGTTAGAAAAACGATTTGTTGGATGTGTTCGCTTTATGTACACACTCATACCTGAATTTTTTGCCATGCCCTCTCTGTAAGGTTTAGTTATTTGCCTGTGTTGTCCTTGTTCTCATTTTGTCTTTTAACTTCATTTATAATGTGTTTGGTAATGCCAGATTTGGCAGATAGCAGCTAATAAAGTTTTCCTTAATTCTCACCCTGTCCAGCAGATAATCTCCATTACTTCTTGTCTTTTGGCATGAAGTACCAGAAAACCTAATTTTGACGGCAGTGACTTTTTAATTTTAAATGCTGACGTATGTAAATCACTGAGACAAACGCCCTACAACATCATAGGAAAGGAAGTGTAAGGCTGTTTATTTTAGCCTTGCGTTTGATTTTCTGCTGTAGGCACGCTTTTTGAGGTTTATTCCAAGGTTAAGATAAAACTTGGCTTAATATTGCCCACATCTTTTCCTTTAATTTTAATGCTTGTTAATATACGGCTAGCAGTCTCGCTACTTTTTTGTGTGTATTTCGTGACTTGGAAACCTTTTCAAACATCTTTCGTGTCAGTCATTCAGAGCTGCTGCTGATTGCTGTTGGTAAAGTTTGCCAGAGGATTTGTCTTGACCTTTTGGCATCAGTGTTTGTCTGTTTAAATTACCACAGTCGTTGGTATCATCTGAGGACTGATCGGTGTGACATACTGCAGCCTCGCTACCTCTTAAGGCCGTTTACCAAGATCTAATGCTAAATGTACTTGAAATAATTACCCCTTAGGAATGGGGAACCTTTAAACTTGGAATATTAATACCCGTCATTAGGGAATGTATTCCCACCATCAGGTGGATTTCTCTGAACTGTGGACTGGATCTGCATTCACACCTTTACCTCTGCAGCCTGTTTGTAACTGCATTAGTGAAGGCAGAGACCTTTAGTTTCTAGCTGTGGGAGGTTAATGAATTACTAATTCTCCTTAAGGAAAAACTTCATCTAACTAGCTCCTTTCTATTTAGAATATTGTTGGCACTTACTTTAAAGTTCTGTTTCCTTTCTGGAAAGAGCGGGATATCACTGCTCTTCTTTTGAGGATTTTAGAGCTTTCTATGCAAACAATTTTTTTCCTCTTCTTGTCATATCTTCTGTGACTCTTCCAACTGAGAATACCTATTGGTGATAATGAAGTTGCTTTAGAAATAAACTATTTTCCTTAATAACAGCATGTGTTGATCTTTGAGCTCATACGTTGGTTTTTCAGATTCCTCTTTTACACTGATTAGTTCCATTAATTGAAAATATGAAGGATATGGGCATGTCTGGAAAAGAGCATTAAATCTGGATTACTCTTTAAGTAAATTTTCAATTCCAGCTTTCACTTGACTGTTTTGTATGGTAAAGCACCAAATTAAGAGTTGTAAAAGAACATCTGAATATGATATGCCAAAGATGTTTTTAACACAAGTGTCCATGGTCATAAAACATAGTGATTGTATTTACAGGTAGGTAACTAACTAAAAGTCTTGGGAACTATTGGTGTGCTTTTTAGATAGACTGACTGTCTAATCTGAAAAATTTCTGCCCTTTTTTTTTTCCCTCCAGGTAGTGCGACTGTTAAAAACCTCTCCAGAGAAACCTATAACATTAGCGATCGGTGATGGTGCTAATGATGTGAGCATGATACAAGAAGCGCATGTTGGCATAGGTAACTTACTTTTGTCAGAAGAGATGCAAATAAGATGCAAATTTTAGTAGAGGATTAGCTCATGAAGAGTGTTTATAACCAGATAAAATTCTAACATTTTTGCATTTGTGAATGGTGGTGTTAATCTGAGTGATCTGTCTTAGCAGAATTTTAGTGATATTTAAAATTTAAGGCTGTTTACTTTCAGAAGTCTTAGGTTTATTCAGAAGTCCTGCTTAATGCTGCCTTAAGAACAGCAATGATTTTCTGTAACTAGACTCAAAAGTACTCTGCTTCAGGTATTGGAAGTGGATGTCTCTAACTTCAGACATTGTCAGGTTTTAAGTTCCAATATAAACTTGACCTTTAAACCTTTCTTTGTGCTGCACTGCCACTGTTTGCACCACGTCTGTGTCACGTTAGAAAAGCCATTTTTGTCTAGTTTGTCTATGAGGAGAAAGTTTTCATTATATCTCTTGAGAGACTGTTACTGATTCTCAACTAAGCTTGGTAGTTTTCTCTATTTATTTTCTCTTCTGTTTTCTGGCCAGAACCTTCTTTTGCACTTTTTTTCCTGCTGTGTTCTATAACTGAGTACAAACCAAAACACACATGTGTAACTGAAAGGGGTACCCTCCACATAGTGTTTTGGTATTTCCTTTACTGACATTGTTGGATGGTGTTTGTTAGGGTAGCAAATGCTGAAAGTTCTTACATAAAGTATTGGTGCATCAGGATGTTCGATCTTGTCACTCTTTGGGATTAAAAAGATGTACGTAATGGTAATCATTTAAATCACATGGCCATGATTTTTAAGACCATGGGTGTAGCCTGCTAGAGAAGGTTACAGATAACAAATAATGCTTTATTCTACAGCTAGTTTGTCATCTAGCAGAGGCTTACTAATCACAAATTTATCCAAGTTTTTATTGTAATTTGTAGCATAGTAGATGTTACAGGTACACTGGTCAAAACTAGCAAGTCTTACCCCTGGAGAGTTGATGGAACCTTTAGATTATTTTTTTTCAGAACCAGCCAGCACTTTTAAGTGTCTGCTTTTCAGGAATCCTGGGCCACTTTTCTTCTGTAAGAGAGCATTTTTGCATTCTCTGTGTATGCTTATCCTAATCTTAGTAGTTTTTAGAAATGGATCTGTGTTCAGCTATGTCAAGTGACGGGCATTGTCAGCCCATCGGATTAAGTAATCTGCTGTTGTTAAGAACAGCATTGATTTTATTCTGCTGTTGAGTATAGGTCATCTGTTATTCCCAGAAAGCAATGTAAGAAAAACCTCTCTGAAGTAAAACATACTAAATGGATTGATAATTGACGACGAATTGATAGTGGTTTGCTTCATTTGGGACTTTTGGTTTTGTATGAGTGTTATTATTTCTGTGGCCTCCCATAAAGCTTTTCTTAAGCATAGCTTACAGAAATAGGCTCTTTTGTATTAGTTGAATCAGCATCAAATGAGCAATTTCCCTTAGTTGTGTCAGAAATAATGCCTTCTTTTGGAACTGAGATTGCTGAAGTCTTATAATGTCAAAGTGCAAGGAAACAGAACTGTAGCTTCAGATGTATGTTGTTGTTTTTTTTAAACTTTAATTTTTGTAATGTTTGGCCTGTTCTGTTTTGTTTCCCAAATATTACAGGTATCATGGGCAAGGAAGGAAGACAAGCTGTAAGAAACAGTGACTATGCAATAGCACGGTTTAAATTCCTCTCCAAGTTGCTTTTTGTTCATGGGCACTTTTACTATATTAGAATAGCAACCCTTGTACAGTACTTTTTTTATAAGGTAAGTCTTCAAAGAGTACTAGTGAAATTCACAGAAAAATGTGTAACTTCTTCCCATCAAGAAATTTATTTCAAATCTAACACTTTTGTTGGGAACAGGTTAAGTATCTCCATTCAAACATGTTTTTTGGGCTTTTTTGTATTTTATAACAAAACACTGCAAGGGAAGTGAGCACCAGGGGCTGAGATATCTCTGGGCAGAGCTATGGACATGGAGTAGCAGAGTGAGCTTGTTGGGAGCGTAAGCAAAATGCTTGATCATCAGTTTTGATAAGAAGTCAAAATTTGCTATCTTACTTGAAATATATCTGAGATTGTAGCACTGTCCACCAAGCCACCTGTATCTTCTGTTGTTTACTTCCATTTAAAGATAACAGCATGGTGCTAGGTTTTGATTTCTGTTTTGTCTGCTCTGATGCAAAAAGCTCGCTTGAGCAGAGCACAGTCTTTCTTGAATGAAATGTGGAAACTATTTTGCAAGGAAACTCTTGGAAAGAAACTGAGGGGAAAATGGATGGATTTCTCCTCCTTTAATACTACTTGTACTCCTCTAATGAGATGCGTTCATCACGTACATATGGTTAAGTTATATTTTTCAGGTTCATTGTCCCAAAGGACAAACAAAATACTCTCTCAAGCAAAGCATACTGTTTCACTTTGCCAAGTAAGATGCTGAAATGCTTTATGCTCTCCCTGTGTATTTTTTCTGGCTTGTAAGAGTTAGCAGTTTCTTTCAGGATTGTAAGGCAATTAACTGTTTCCTTCACTTTTTCTGTTTTTCAGAATGTGTGCTTTATTACACCACAATTTTTATATCAGTTCTTCTGTTTGTTTTCACAACAAGTAAGTATTGGTTGCCTTACATCTTGGTAAATGTGTATGACACAGTCATGGTAAATAACTAGAAAAATAGGAAAGAACTGCACAAAAGCAGCACAGATTTTACACTTAACAAATATTCAGCTTCATTTTCTGTATTTGGTAGCTTGATGTTACTAGAGGGTTATGTGAGTATAGCTTTTTTCCTAACTAGTAAATCCATGTAATTAATGATGTGTTGCTGCTATTAGTATGCAGTATTGCATTAGTATGCAATAAGTTTTAATGAAGACAAACAACTTTTTTACAAGACTCAAAATAATTTTTGTTTCTATTTTCAGACGCTCTATGACAGTGTATACCTGACTTTGTACAATATTTGTTTCACTTCCTTGCCTGTCCTCATATACAGTCTTTTTGAACAGCATGTGCATCCGCATGTATTACAGAGTAAACCTGTGCTCTATCGGTATGTACATCTTCCATAGTCACAGTGCAACGTCATTCAGAACAACAGTGGCATCTGCAGAAATCTGAATTTGCTATTACGCATTCCTACAGAAGTTTTATCTTTAATTTATGCATTTTTAAGTAACTATCTTGAGGGAGGAAGAACTGCAGCTACGTAATTTTCATCCTAAAAGTTAATTACCATGAGTATTTTAAGAGGAGCATCTTTTTATGTCAGTCGTACTAAGACTAGAAGAGAATTGAGCACTTGGTCAGCGTACATAATTGGCAGCCCTTCTCCTTCATTACATTCAGGAGGTGAAAATCGTTCAGACATGCAAAGACTAGGATGCTATGGTTAGGGGAATTACCACAAAAATGCTTTACTAAGAGGAAGTGATTTCCTGTAGAATTAGATGTCCTCCCAGTGGTTGCATGTTGCACTACATACTGCTTTTTGGAGGAAAAAAAAAGTATATATTTTTGTGAAAGAGATTTCTTTTAGATGTTTCACTTTTCTTAAAGGTCTTTAAAGCAAAACAGGGGGCAAGTACCAGGAGATGTGCCTTTTTCTTCCTCTTGCAATTCTCCCTTCAGGCAGCAGAATTCTAGTTTCTGCTATTCTGAATTTGACCTGTTAGAGACCCCTGCCTTTGATGATCCCTGCATAAAGCAGAGGCAAATCATGAGAGCTCAGAGTTCGTTCTTTGCCTGTAATTTATGTATTTTTTCACATGTCAGCATTCATTAAATGTATCTTAAAGCAGTTGAAAGCTACATTTATTCAAAGCAGTAGCAGTCATGCAGTGTGAATAGCTGATGGGTTTTATAAAGTTGATCTGAAATCCAAAATCTGTTTTATTTCTGCAGAGACATCAGTAAAAATGCCCATCTCGGGTTTAAACCATTTCTTTACTGGACTGTCTTGGGCTTCTTTCATGCATTTGTTTTCTTTTATGGCTCGTATCTTCTTATGGGAGAAGACACTTCTCTGCTGGGAAATGGCCAGGTACAATATCATAAGAATTACTCTAACACTGTATCTTTGGTGGTATTTTGTAATGTTTTGGGGTTTTTTTGAAAAATCCTTTGTGTTAGAAAAATCCAAGATTTTTTTCTTTTTATGAACTACGTAATTACCAGAGATGCTTTGTCAGTATTTGTGTGTGCTCTCAAGAGTAATATTTCTTAGTGCGGAAACTGTAAGACATGTTGCCAGAAAGTGTATGTCCATGAAGAACATATCTTTCAAGCAAATAAGTGTATTATAGTTGTCTTAAACTTTGTTTTATTTTGTGTACTGTTTTTGTCAAAATCATGTCATAACTTCAGTAAATGAGAATTTATATTCATTCCTTCAAAACTCATTTTGAGTTGGACTTAATTACAGTGTCCAAAAATGGCTTCTCTTTAGCATCTGTTATAAAATTAGGCTTAAATCTGGAAGATTATGAGAGTCTTAAAGCTTCCCTTAAAAATGTACTATTTTAATTACTCAGAATTTTTTAAAATTAAGTGGTGCAAGCTGCTTTGAAATCATAGATTTTATTCAATAAATGTTTTTAAGACAATAACAATGAAATAATCAAATACTAATTTGACTCTTTCTGTTTTAAAGATTATATACAAAAAAACCTCTGAAACTTGGATGAAACCATTACAAGCATGGCTTCCTCATTTTGCCTGGTTCTGAGTTAGTTAACCCCACTTAGAACAAGTAGATTCTGATTTTTCTCTCGTAAAACTGTTACGGGTAGTGATGCAAAAATATATTTGCTTCTCTCATTACACCATTCTTGCTACTGACATGAAGTGCTTGCTGATTCTTGCACAGCACTTGGTGGGGTTACAAGTTATGGCACAAGGTACAAAAAGTAGCATCATGCTGTACTCACAGTGATCACCTGGTGATAGGGAGTGGGTGCGAGCTCTGGAAGTTTAGCAAAAAATAAAAAATAAAAATTAAATATAATGGCAAACAGACAATGGCCAGAATGGTCCTGAATGGCTAAAATCAGAGAGGATGGGAACTGGTGGTTAGCATCCTTGCAGAGAAAGAAGCAATAGGGGGAATGGTGCAGCTACCAGGAGTACTATTTCATCAGGAGATGTTTGGTAAGAACATTAGCATAGTTGTACTTCAACACGCTGAGTTAGGGGTGTTTCATCCCTTGTTACAAATGTGTGACTTGGAAGTTCTTGTAAATTGATAAGGGACCTTCAGTACCTTCTAATGAAGTGAATTTACACTATGAATTGGTTTGTTTCTGGGCACCTGCGTTAGTTGTCAAAGCACCTCACTTCAAAATTACTTAGTAAATATCCACAAGGCAGGAACAGACTTTTTTTAATCGTGTTTATTAACATATGTTTAGTTTGGGGAACAGATTGTGTTCTATATATCGAGACCAGTGTGTTAATTCAGAGTTCAAGGAAAAAGTTCTTTTAATGATTTCTCATATAAATTAACCTTAAGATTTTTTTAAAATATATTTAGTGAATGAGCATATTGGAAAGAAAGCTTTCAGATGCCCTTTGGCTTCTCATGTTTTTTTGTGATGTGACTTTAGAAAAAAGTCTTAGAATTTATTAGGAGTTACTTTCCTACCGTCTCTGGATTTGCTGAAAGATGGTTATTAGAATTGGTAGAACTGTGTCTGGCAGTAAAATATCTACAGTACATCAGGTATGTTGCAGATTTAATGTGTGCCTGAAAAAGCCAAAGTTAAGGGCAAGAGAAACTCAGGTGCTGCTGAAGCACTTCATTGTAATAGTCCTCAAGAAGTGATCGCTTTGTGTGAATGTGAGATACCAGGTAGTGTCAGTGCAAGGCCTCATTTCATTTCCACTGAGTTCTCAGTTTGGAGCAAAGCAGAATAGAAGAGATTGTGAGTAATTTGTTAATGCTGGTGGCTTGTGAGGCTTACCTCAACACATTGTACAACAACTTGATCTTTTAGTTCTTTTTTTTTCTCCCCCCTTTTTCATGCTGTGCATGTCGTCAGATATTGAAACCTAACAGGCAAATGGTAAGAGTTTAGAAAAGGAGGAGATACAAAATATTGTATCTGTAACTTCACAGGTTTAAAGGATGCAGCATCCACGGTGTAAATGTGTTCAAAAATAAAATGGTGGCAAAAACCTGTTCACATTTTGCATTCTAACTCTGTGACCATTGAGAGCAGTGTTAGCAAGACACTTTCTTTCACAGGTCCCTCAGGAGGAGTAGTCTAATTTTACGTCAAGATGATTATTGCAGCAGTTAACAGCAAGCATGTTGCTTGTTAAGTATTTCTGTCAGCGTGAAAAGCAAATAGAAGGCTTTAGAAGACGTCTTATAACAAAGATCTTTAAAATTGTCAGTAAATCCAGACTCATGGCTGCCTCAGTTTTGTACCTTGTGTAAAGGTGAGAAGAGCAGCTGTGAGATCTGTCATCAGGCTGTTGGGATTTTTCTTGTCAGAGCTCTGTAACAAGGACTACAACTGTGTGAATCCCAGTTCATGCCTCTGTGCTGTACTAACAAATCAACTCCAGGATTACTTTGGTTGCCTGTCTGCATGTGGTACCTTTCTCCTTGCCTGCTTGGTTTGCTACTGGTAAATAGAGAAGTGAGGGTTTGGTCATAGTTCAGTGGCAAAAGTAGCTATGAAACAGCAGTGACTTCAGTGTCAGCACCCAGACTGCTTCCAGGAGCAGAGCAGTTGGACCTCTGATAGAATGGCAGCGTGTGTCTGAGTAGCATGTGTGTAGTTAGCTTAAATTCGGCATCCCTGCTTGGTTGTCAGAGCTGAGATTTTATTGTTGTAGAACTTGTTCAGAGTTTTGATAGTTTAATTTACATAGGCAAGAGAATACAAAAGTGACCGATACAGTGTGTTAGAACTGAAGCTTAATTGTGTGTTTGTTAGCCTTGAAACAAAGTGTCTTTTCCTTGGAATTTTATTTGAAAAAGACAATGGCACCATTATTTTTGAATTGTAAAATTGTGCTTGGGGTAAAAAGTGAACTTTCAGGTGATGCTGCATGTTGAAAATGATCTGGAAATCTTTAAACTCAAAGTGTTTTGCACTTATATTAAAGTGAATACCTTCCACCCAATATTTGCTTTCTATTGAATGTGTATACTTAACTGGGCAAATTGATACCTTCATTTCCCTATCATTTCATGTTACTGTTTTGGACTTTCTTCATATTTCATGTAGTCTTTGTGGTGCTTTCTTTTGAACTAAGAAGGAAGATGACTTGTGGGTTGTTAATTTTGCTCTCACCATAAGTTGTATTTTTTCTGGTAGTCTGTGTTGTATCCTTCTTGCTTTCTCACAACGATTAGTTGTCACAAGCTTTTGTCTGCAGACTTGTTTCATTAGTGTAGCTGACTTGAGAAGAATCTAACTTAACGTGAATGCTCTTAACCAATTTTTTTTTTCCTCCCATGATTTTTGCCATGCTGTTTTCTTAGATGTTTGGAAACTGGACATTTGGTACTTTGGTCTTCACTGTTATGGTTATAACCGTTACGATGAAGGTATGGTGTTATCCTGATTACTCTCTGTGTTTGGGTGTATAGGCAAATATGTAATAGAGCAATAATTTCAAATTTAGTCATAAGTTATACAAAAGTAATTGAATACTGAGGATTCCAGATAAGCTATTTTTCTGTTGGGTTTCAGTGGTGGTTAAAACTTTTCTTTGTCATTTTTGCACGTTACAACAGTACTTAGTGTTTGAGCTGAAGGTTCGTAAGTTCGTTCAGACCAGTATTTATGTTTTTCTGTGAAGTGGGGGGAAAAGGTAGTTCACAGAATTATCTTTGTTTTAGATGGCACTAGAAACTCACTTCTGGACATGGATAAACCATTTTGTTACTTGGGGATCCATTGTGTTTTATTTCATATTCTCCTTGTTTTATGGGGGAATTATCTGGTGAGTGATTCTTTTTTTTCTTTTGTTTTTCCTTTCTATAGCAAATATGAAAAATGATGAAGCTGTGAAAAAGCACTGATGTCTTATGTTCTATCATATCTGAATTTGGTGACAGATGTCAGAAAACAAATTTGTAAACCTAGAGCGGCCACTTGCTTTTGCTGATTTGTTCAGGAATGTGAGCAATGCTGCTAAGCTGTCCTGTGCTCAGTGACAGGAATTACTCATCTCTGAGAGTCTGCAACTACACAGGCATTTTTCTTTTTAAAACTTAGATAGGTTCCCAAAGATGCTATGTAATAGGTAAATGTTTGCAACAGAAATGGGGTTTAAATCTGTAAAGTTATGTATTTTTGCTTGTATTTTGGATAGGATGGTGACTGATTTTCTGCAACACAATTTAAAACTAAACCAGAACGTTTCCCTCCGAAGTTCGGTACCCTCCTACCCCAAAGCTTCGTTGCAGGACAGGTCCAACAGATTGCTATACTTCTTCATGGAGGCCATGCAGCTGCAGCTCTGTATTCTCAGAGACTTGCTGTGTGATACAAAATAAGATACGCTTGAACCTGCCTGTGCTGTACTTCTGCTTCTAGAAGTTTCTCTTAGTAATTGCCCATTCTTTTAACTTTTCAGGCCATTTTTACATACCCAGGACATGTACTTCGTATTTGTTCAACTGTTGTCAAGTGGTTCTGCTTGGTTTGCCATAATCCTCATAGTAGTTGCTTGTTTGTTTCTTGATGTTGTGAAGAAAGTGCTGTACAGACATCTACAACCAACAAGTACTGAAAAAGCTCAGGTAATGTTATGCTTTTGTATCCAACTTAATAGTTCAAAGAACACATTTAGTAAAATCTGTCTTGTAAACTAATTACTTTCCTGTCATACTTAATTATCCTCTTACATAGCTGTCATGTTTAATGCAGAAAAATGTTCTCATTTCAAGAGAAAGTTGTTAATTTAAAATTACAAAAATGGGAACACTATTTTACAAGGAAATAACATTTATGTTTAAGTAATTTATATTAACAATAGTAGAATTATTTATAAAGGGGTCACTCAGCCTGCAGCTCTATGAGGGGATCATACTACGCACCTTTGTACTGCTTTAAAGGTGGTAACTTACTCACATTTTTCTCTAGGTATTAGAAGCTCTCTTCAACTATAACTGGCAAGGAATAGTTCTTAAAAAGTGATGAAAACAGTACTTTAAAAAATTACTTTAGTAGGACTTGCTTTAATTAGTATTACATCTTGATCATATCATATGTCATGTGTTTGATTGTTGATTATGTACTTAAAGATAATTACCCATGTGGTATTTTCATAAATTCATAGGAGAGGTCTAGAGATAGGCTGTGATAATAGAATCTCCCTCTTGCCTGACACAGGCTACAAAAACTCCTTGGAATCATTCTGTTCAAATTAGGGTGTCTTTTAGGTAGATGTCTCATGTATGTTTGAGTTTGTCTTCTTTTTAGTGAGGACTGTGGAGAAGTCATCCTGACCCATTGCTCTAACAGTTGCTGTCTCTGCTTTCGGTTCTCAGCATTTTTTCTTTTTACACTTTTCCTGTTAAACCGAAATGCCTTCTAGTAACAATTTTTTGTTCTATTCATGGTTAGGTTTGTGCTCCAGTTAGTTTTCTGACTGATAAGTAGATCGGACTTGCATCTTTTGTCAAAAAGGCTTTTTTCCAGTCCCTTAATCATTCTTGTGTTTCTCCTGTAATCTTCACCATTCTTCAAACTCATCTTAAATTTTGGATTTCACCAGTTAACACACTATTGCAGCACAGCATACATCAGTGCCAGATATGGAAATAATGGATCCCCCAGTGCTATTCAGTTTACAAAATAATATTCATCAATAACCTATTAACTTCTGCATCGTATTCTCCTCTGCAAGTGATTCTGTTGGTTTCTTCCAGGTCGTTGATGAGGGGTCAAATAGCATAAGGCCAACACAAAAAAAAATTGAAAGTAAATGAACAATCCAAGTGACAAAGATATCCCATATACAGTTATGTTCTGAAACCAGTTAGCAGTTTTTAGTCCGTCTGTGTGCCATACTGATTTTGTGCTGTCCTAGTTGCTTAATCCAAATTCACTGAGCTGTGTGCCATACCGAACTCTTAACTGCATTACATCAATACTGTTACCTTTAGCATCTAACCATGTCATTACTTTGATGTAAGTGCACATTGATTTTCTGAAATTATATTACCCTTCTGATTTGTGAGTTTAAAAAGAAAGCACCAGGTGATATATTGCCTTAATTTGCCTAGGATCAACATCATGCTGACAAACCTTTTGGTAGCCAAACTATGCGATTAGTTTCTTTTCAGAACTGTAGCATTGGCTGCTTTTTCCAGTCTTGGAATGTAGTAGCAAAAATCCAAAGAGAATAACTACTGGCTTTCCAAAAACTGTTCAACTAGACCTGATAAGACAATATTGCACTTTCTAGATTAGAGTCTTGATTTAGGAGAAATTCTAAAGGTAGTGATAGTTACTTGTCCATCTATTTTTTTTCCTTCAAAAAGTAATGGCAGTATGTATCAAACACTTCCCTTCCGTTCTGTACATCAGCTGTTTCTGTCTGGCAGCATATCAGTATGGCTGTTGAGGTTTTCATGTTCCCAAAGTGCTTGAATTAAAACTCCCAAAGCCCGCATCCTTTTCCCCTAGCCTTATCCGTATACTTCTTGTTGCATTCTGTTGTTTTCTCTATAAATTCTAAAGCACTTCTGGGTTCGGTTTGCTCCCATTGCAGTTGTGCCATCAAGGACACAGTCGGACGTTTTATTTTTAAGCAGAAATCCTGGTGAATGTCTGACACCTTTCCTGTGGCTATAGCTTCATTCATAGCCACGGGGATTTTGCATTGTGCATCTCTATTAGTAGTTTTGTTTGGATGTTCTTCTTCTTTATTCCAAATCAACTTTGACATTTGACAGTGTTGGCATTAGGGTCTGTGTTTACCAAAATCCTGTCTTTTTCTGAAAACGCTTAATTCCTGATACTGCAAAGTTGTCTAAAATCTGATTTGACCAGAAATGCTTCAGCAGAGCTATTCAGTGGTTTCTCTGTGTGTGTCTGATAGTGAAATCAGAGTTTAAAATGTATTTGCAAAAAGAAAGCAGCTGTTAGTTCCTTTGTTGAGGTTTAATCTGTTGAGATTTTCCCCACTCTTCCTTTTCATGGGACAGTGAGTCCCACTGAATTTCATTGGCTGCTCTTGTAGTGAGGACGTGTAGACATAAGTGAATGTAAACAGGTGATCCACTTAGCATGTTTGTTGTCAAGAAGTGACAGAGCACTTCCTTTATGAATGAATATACCTCGTGAGATTTGTTTAAAATTTCTAGTAAATATTTTTCTTTCCAAGAGAATGAGTTTGAAGAATGTCTTTGTCCTAAAAGCTAAGGGAACTTTGTATATTCCCTTTTTAAATGTGTTTTTTGTAGTGCAGGTGCACCCTCTGTATAACTGAATATTTTTAATCACTCGTTTTTAATTGTAGCACTAAATTAATATATTTGCACATTGGGAAAGAAAAAGTTTACAGTTACTAAGTTTTTATCAGGGCAAGAGAAATTGTTACATGAACTCGTCACTGCTTTTTAAATCACAGCTGTTGAAGTTATTTGTTTCCTTCATCATTTCTCCCCCAGTTCTAAAATACTCCCAGGAGCAGTGAGCAAAACAGATTTCTCAACTGAAAATGCTTGCCCCTATCATTTTAATCTTTCAGAAACTAAGAGCATGCTGGTTGTGCATGTTACCCAACTCAGTGCTATGAATTCACTGTATCTGTAGGCAGTCTGCCTTGCTCTACTGAGTATATAAGGAACTTGATTTTATGTCTTTTATTTATTATACGGTCATAGCATCAATCAGTCTGTCATCAGTTACGTGTTACATGTAGCTAAGTTATTCACAAGAGAGCAAAGACATTTAACTGGTATTAGAGAGAAACACTGGAGAAATCCTGCTAAAGATAAACTTCTAAATGTGAATATTGTTCTGTCACAGCAACTGAAAAAGAACTTGTTCCATTTTGGGAAGTTAAAAATTTGACAGGCAAGCGTGTGTTGACTTTTATAGAGGGATGAATTTGGTTGACTTTGCCTTCCTTAATGCACTTAGGGTGCATGTGTGTAATTATTTTTTTGTGTTCTGTGTGGTTTTTTGCTGGCCATAAAGAAAATCCATCTTGCGATGTTTGACTTTGATGTATTGCCCTGAAGTAGCTTCTGGGTAATTTCTGACTATAGGTCTGTTACAGAATCATATCAGAGGAGGTGGACAGTAAGGTAAATCTGAATCAAAATAGAAATCTTTGGATAATATTAATCGCAGCACTATTGAGGGGAGTAGGTAATACTGGATAAAGGTGTCTGGTAAAGTATAGATGTAAAAGTGTATAGGCCTTTTTTCTCAGTATGAAGCTAAGGTACACTTAAGACTGGTTCTACCAAACAATAACTGGCTGTGATCATCCCAGGAGCTGTCCTGAAGGTACCAGGCTTGTGTTCTGTATATGATGTGTATTCCACTTAAATAACAATGTCTTGTCCTGTGTCTTTCTCTTAGAAAATTACTGCTGCTACCTACTGACATGTATGTTCCATCCCTTCTCTGTCCGATTGTAGATGTACTCCAACAGAGTTGCTTTAAGCGACGAGTTCATCGCACTGCAGCCATTGTCCAGGGCAAGGAATCAGCTGAGCAAAATTAGGTAGAGTAGGAGGGGCAGTTCCTTGTCAACTCTTATGCATGCGAAAGGTGAACTAACCAGTGCTGAGAGAGATGGGAAGAGGCATGAATATTAGTGGGTTGAGGGCAATATCTGTAGCGCAGATACATTCAGTTTGGTTTTCTTGGCTTTGCTCTGTGTTTCTGAGCCAAATGCTTCCCTAAATAGCATGTGTTTGACGTGCTTTTTTGTTTGGTTGGTTGTTGGGGTTTTTTTAAGGAAAAAACATCCCTAGCATGATGCTCAGCTTTCAGAATACAGATCTAGCTACTCTTGCATCCATTTCTAAATAATCGCAGTTTCTAGCATGGTTGTAATGCTTTTAATTTCTTTAATTAACAGTGCTTTTTGCATGTTGGATAATTTCAGCTCCATAAGGCTGTGCCAGGACAGTCCACATATTTCAGGCAGCAATTTCTTGCGAGTTTGCCCATTCTAATTTGCTTTTACTGGTGTTGAAAGGGCAAAAAATGTTTTAAGTTTGGGTACGTACATATGCTTGTGCAGCTGAGGCTTTTTGTGTTTGTTTTGTGCATCTATAAAGTGAGTGGTGTTTGTTTTCAATGTGTATGGATACATATCCCTAAAGGCATTTGGATACAAAGTTCTAGAAAATAATTCAAAAAAAGATCCAAGTGTACATGTGTCTGTGTAGTTGAACCATGATGATTCTGCAATTCTTGAAATGCTCTGGGTTCAGGACATGAAATACTATCAAATGCTGATTCTCGTTTGTAAGACTGCAATATTCATATGCCTCAATAATGTCTCAACCTGTTTGATGTTTTATCCCACCCATCTCTACTTCTGTATTCTGTAGCAAGAAGTAATGCAAAGAACTGATTCCTTTTAAATATTTTTTAAGGTGACTGTGTTGTTTAAAAACATGAAGATAGGTCCTAGGAGAACCGACCAGCCTACATTTTAGGGACTTAATTGCTGTTTGTTTAACTGAGGGAAAATAGGCGACAGGAAGCTGACATGGTAAATGATTAGCAGAGAAGTTTAAGTGGTTAATTGAAAGAGATGACACAAGCC